GTGCAATTCCCACAGGCCTCGAGTGTGTGTGCAATTCCCACAGGCCTCGAGCGTGTGTGCAATTCCCACAGGCCTCGAGAGCTCGTCCAAAACGTTTCAGAGGTTTCAAGCCGTGGTACACTTCCACCCTTATCATCGCCTTCTCTTTGGCATTTGCACCCGGTCACCAAAAATACTTTTCAAATGTTGCCCATTCAAATACACTCCAGGGTGAGTGCACCGCATGCCTATGTTTCACTGAGAGCCACAGGGTGGAGTAAGGTATAGGAAAGTCTTGATGAAGTCTCTATTTTCAAAGAGGTTTGATGAAAGGAAAGTGTTCCCGGGGAACCTAAACAGGCATTTATTTCTTGCCTTCATAATAGGAATGGCACCATTTGGGCTGAGTCAGTGGCCGAGAATGTCTGGGTGAGGGAACTGTCTATTTACACACTTGGCAGCAGTCCCAGCTTGTGGAGAACATTTGCTGCTGGAGCAGGCCCCACCGTAAGTCCCAACCCATTTTCCATCTGTGGTAGACACTGAAATCCAACTCACTGTGATTGAGTCTATTCTGATTCCTCGGGACCCTCTAGGGCACAACAGTACTTCCCCTGCGGGCTTCTGAGACTGTAACTCTTATAGGAGTAGAAAGTCTCACCTTTCTTCTGAGGAACAGCTGGTGGTTTCGAACTGCTGACCTGGTGGTTAGCAACCCAACACATAATCACCCCCACCAGGGCTCCTAATGGTACATACTCACCAGTAATATTGACCCAGAGGACAATTCCAGCGTTTTGAGATACATCTTGAGGCCTTTGCAAATCCACAAGTTACTCAATCCCCCTCTATCCTATTTCTCTACAAACTCTTGTAAATCGTAGCAGCAGATAGCATCAAAGCAGGATCTGGGGATGCAGACGGCAAGCATGGTGGCTGACGAATGCCATGATACTGAAGAGAACATTCCAGAATGAACTGGCCACGTTCTAGCTGCTGAGAAGTCAAGAGCCAGAGGCTGCGGAGGAGAAACAAGGAGAGAGGAGAGGGACATGTCTGGCAGGTGGGAGGTAGAAGAGGAGGCATGGGGGAGTCCAAGAGCCGCGAGCAGAATGCTGCCATGTTTCCTTGGCTCTTGGATCCCACTTGGAACCGCAGCAGAGGTGGTCTGCCTGCTGGTGGGCGTAGTTGCAAACAGCAAGGTGTTGGGTGGCGTCAGGGGGAACGGGGACTGAGGGCGAACAGAACGGAGAGGACGGTGCTCAGTGGGCATCCGCTCTCACCGTGCAACCGTTCTTAACTTTCCCTGCTTGATTTAATAACGGTGTTCAGTGTCGTGGAGAGGGTAAACGCATTCTCAAGGCAAAGAGGACACATGCTTATGTTCAGCATTTCAACGGTCAGGCCACCACGGCTTCCTATGGAGCCTTGGACGGCCGGTCCCTGGATTGGCTATTGAAATGTACTCAAGGCTGCCTTTTCATTTGGCTCCCAGGGAAAATGTCAAATGCCTTCTAGAATGCATAAAACCAACGCTAGCTGGAATTCCTTAAGTGGGTCTCTTTACGTCACCTATAAACGATTTCCAGGAAAATAATCAAAGCAAAACAAAAGAGAATGAAGAACAAAATGATATGCTTTGTAGCTCTCGCTCTCTCTTTGCATTGGAATGTGACTCCTTGTTACGGGCCAGAGCCTGGAAGCCAGCTGCGTTACATTTTCCCTTATTATCTTCAGCAACTTATGTTTTCCACTTGCCACATGTCAACCAAAGAAAACGGATAGCCTTAGGCTGCCAAAGCATGAAAGCATTTTTTACTTTTTACGCCACTGAGGTTTACTTTTAATACGCATTTTGACTAGCACGTCACTTTTTCCAGATCTCAGAAGAAAAACAATCTTACCTTTCCTCCCTAAGAATAGCTGGGGGCTGAGGGGGCTGCTTGGTGCTTGTCGCTTTTCCTCTTGCTTCTGGCTAATTTATCAAAAGACCTCGACTTTGAGGAGCACTGGTGGCATGGGGCATCGTTACACACTGGACCGCTAACCACAGAGCCCGCAGCTAAAACAAACCATCCGCTCCCCTCTCAGGAGAAAGGGGAGGCTGTCTGCTCCCATCAAGAGGTACAGCCTCGGAACCCACGGGGCAGTTCTAACCTGTCCTGGGGGGTTGCTAGGACTGGGGACTGACGGGATGGCAGTGAAAGGAGACAGCGACCTTTATTCTCATTTTACTCATTGATTAGTCTGGACCCACAGCTATTGAGAAAATGAAAAGCAAGTGTAATTCTGCCACACACACACACACACACACGCACACACACACACCCCATACACACATACCTAGAACGAGAAGTTCAGGATCCTAAAGATCCTACGTGGACTAGATTAATTATGGTATACAACTGAATCCCACAAAGGTAGAAAAGTGTACTTTTCTACTTTTCCAATCTGTCAGCTAAAACAAACCATCCTCCCCCCCACCTCGGGAGAAAGGGGAGGCTGTCTGCTCCCATAAAGAGGTACAGCCTCAGAAACCCGAGGAAATCCATTACTTGACAGATTGGAAATATTAAACATACATGGCCGTGGGGAAGACACATAGCGTATTAGTAATCAGACTAAATTAAAACACTTGAAATGAGAAGCGAATTGGGGGTTTTATTAGTAATTCAAATACAAACATTTTGAGCTTCTCCATATAATTTATTTATCAATCATGTTTTCACTAGGCAGGAAAGAAAAAGCAACTCTATAGCTAGAGATTTGATTTTTAGGCTGGGTGTGGAAAAGTAATTATATAAGATCCCAGTACAAGTGGGCCGCTTACCTTAGATGTAAGAAAAAGCACGCTGGTGAGAGCAGCCAGATCTATGTCAAAGGCTGAACGTCTGAAAGCACGTTTCAAACTTTCCCATGCCTCTCAGAACGGGGATAGGCTGGGCTTTACCAACTCTGCCTAGAAAAAAAGACTCAAGTGCTTGGCTTGGTGTTCGGTTTCACTCTTGGCTATCAGCAACAGACGTATCTAATTTTACCGGGTGACCGAAAGAGCTCATGCCGCGTCCCTTTCAGCGCACGGCTCTCAGTCTCTAAAAAGAGAGCGAGAGAGAACAAAACAAAAAAGAAAAGAATTCTTATAAACCCAACATTTAAACCCCGAATCACGACAGTCACATAATTATAACTTTCTGAAACAAACCCGACCTCAAGTGACAAGCAGAACGCTTCTGCAAATGAGCCCGTGGCAAAGACGAGCAGCCGCAGCATCTTCTGAAAGACAGTTTCAAATTGCCAGGCCGCCTTTGGGGTCTGGGCGTTTTTGAAGATTATATGGCTCCTAGTCTCATCCGACTAAATGATCTTAGTATCGTATCCATTTGGCCAGGAATCCGGGTAGTCGTGTGCAATATGATTAAAGTAATCAACATCACCGCCTTGTTCATGTGGAAGAGTTTCCAGCAAAGTGGCAAATACTGTGTATGTGTCTCATCATAATAAAAGAGTCACTTTCCCTAATCTGTTCTTCAATGAGAAACCTTACCGTCTGGGGGAAAAATCTGAAATCATGATTGGAGTCATGAGAAGGAGGTAATGCTAACAAGTTGACATGCTAACATGTTGGTGGTGTTTTCCTAGTAACCCAGTATTTATAGCACCCGCACAAGTGGTGTGCATGTAACACCGTGTCGTACAGTCTCTTAGTCACAAATAGTAACAGCTTTCAAATTCTTACTTTACTTCCTAAGGTCCAATGGCATCAAACTTCGGAGTATTCTTAATCTTTCCTCCGGCATCATTCTTTTTTTTTTTTTTTTCTTTTTTAACATTTTATTAGGGGCTCATACAACTGTTATCCCAACCCATACACACATCAATTGTGTAAAGCGCATTTGTACATCGTTTCTCAAAACATTTTCTCTCCATTTAAACCCCCGACATTGGGTCCTAATTTCTTATCCAGCCTGCTCTGCAGCATGAACTAAGGGTGGAGTACATTCTAGATTTGAATCGTGTGCTTGAGCCCCCAACCTCGATGAGCGGGAGCAATAGCATGATAAAACATGTACTTCATGCCTCCCCTCCTCCCCAGGGGCGGGGAGATTTCCCCAGTGGATCCACTGTCAAGTTCTTTTGAAACATGACACTCAGGCCACCAGGACAGCTGCAGGCCTTGAATGGAAAGCTCACACAGGCCGCAGTAAGCATCCATTTACAAGGCACATGAAAATCCTTCTTGAGTTCTCCATAGAGAAAGGCTTCTCTTATTGAGGCAATTCAAATTAGATAACAAATTATAGTACCACTACCAAAAAAAATTCCTTTACAGAGAGAATCTATATAAGAAAACCTGAAAGTCCTAGCTCAGGGGTCTGGATGACCTGCCAGACACTTAAAGATTTCATGCTCAGACACCTTTCAATCAACCAGCAAATTGATTTGGGAGCCTTGGATGTTTTAGGGGCTGCTGTATAGACTGGTTAGTCAGGTGGCTCACTTCCTCCCCACTCCCTTCACAGCTCCCCTTAAGAACAACACCCATGAGAAGATGGGCCAGTCAGGGTGCAGTGTAGCATTGATGAAACATACAGCTTTCCTCTGGTTCTTTAATGCTTCCTCCCCTCCACTATCATGACCCTGATTCTACCTCACAAAACTAGCTAGACCAGAGCACGTACACGGGTACAGATAAGAGGGAATACAGGACAGATGAACCCCCCAGGACCAATATTGAGAGTAGCCATACCAGGAGGGTAAAGGGAAGGTGGGGGAGAAAGGGGGAACTGATCACAATAACCTACCTATGGCTTCCTCCCAGGGGGATGGACAACAGGCAAGGTGGTGGGGAGAGACGTCGGACAGTGCAAGACATGAAAAAATAATAATTTGTAAATTATCGGGGGTTCGTGGAGGAGGGAGTGGGAGGTAAGGGGGAAAATGAGGAGCTGATACCAAGGGCTCAAGGAGAGGGAAAATGCTTTGACAACAATGATGGCAACATATGTACAAAGGTACTTTAGACAATGGATGCATGTATGGGCTGTGATAAGAGTTGTATGAGCCCCCAATAAAATGGGGAAAAAAAGAACAACACCCATGGTTACAGCTACAGGAAGATGGTTTACAGAAACACTCGGTTGAGGTTCATTATTCACTCACTCACTCACTCACTCACTCACTCACTCACTCACTCACTCACTCACTCATTACCAAAAAGTCAATTCTGACTCACACCAACCCTGAAGGCGGTAGAAGAGCTGCTCCTGTGGGGTTCTCAGACTCTAAATATTTATGGGGCAGAAAGCCTCATCTTTCTCCTTTCCACTGGACAGTTGACTGGTGGGTTCAAACTACTGACCTTGAAGCTAGCAATTCAATGAGTAAACCACTATGGTACCAAAACCCAAACCCAAACCTAACCAAATTCACTGCCAATGAGTTGATCCTGATTCATAGTGACCCTAAAGGACAGGGTAGAATTGCCCCCGTGGGTTTCTGAGACTGTAACTATTTATGGGAGTAGACAACCTCATTTCCCCCCACAAGGAGCAGGTAGTAGTTTTGAACTGCTGACTTTGAGGTTAGCAGCCCAAAGCATAATCATTATGCCACTCGAGCTCTTTAAATTTGTTCAGAGTACTCTTTTAATCCTTTCCCCTCCTGTAAGATCAGTAATGATGTCCTAATTTTTCTTTTCAGATTTTTTTTACTCGTGTCTTTTTTTTGGGTGGTGGTGGTGGGGTGGAAGATGATGCTTTCTACCCCAACAAAAAGTTAGTCTCAGAAACCCACAGGGACAGTTCTGCCCTGTCCTAGAGGGTCGCTGTGAGTCAACACCGACTGGATGGTAGTGAGTTTGCTTGGGGTTTTTTGCTTCTCTTTTTTATCGTTATAGTTAAAGGTTCCTTAATTTTGTAATCAGTTCAACAAGCCAACTATAGGGCTCTCTGATTCTTTGTACTGGTCTTCTATTCTCTCATTTATTTATTTACAAATAATGCACTCCTTGTGTGTTTTCTTTTGACCAGTCTTTCAACCCCGACACACCTTATTTTCATTCGTGTGTTCTATGCCCACTTTCTTTTCGGTATGTGGCTGACTTCAATGGCCACTTGTTGCTGGTGTTAGTTAGGTCCCGTTGACGCAGTCGGGACTCAGCGCGATCCTCCTTAGAACAGAACAAAACACCTCCTTGCCTTGCGTTATCCCGTCACCCTCACGACTGCTTGTCCTATGCTTGGCCCATTGTTGCAATCGCTGTACCAACCCCTCTCTTGAGGGCCTCCTCCTCTTTGCTGCCCCGCCACCTACCCAGCGGGCTGTCCTTCTCCAGGGACTAGTCTCTCTTGATCACGTGTCCAAAGTGAGATGCAGTCTCACCATTCATTCTTAGGAGCATTCTGGCCATAGTGTTTCCAAGACAGGGCTGTTGTTCTTTTGGCAGGCCATGGTATTTTTGATATTCTTCTCCAACACCATAGTTCAAATGCATCGATGTTTCATTAGTCTTCCATATTCAAAGTCCAATTTCACATGCATATTAGGCTATCGAAAATACCATGCGGCTTGAGTCAGGTGTCCCTTAGACCTCAAAATAACATCCTTGCTTTTCAACACGTTAGAGAGGGGTCCTGCGGCAGACTTACCCAATGCAACGAGTCCTTTGATCTCTTGACTGCTATTTCCAGGAGCATTGATTGTGGATCCAAGCAAGACAAAATCCTTGACAACGTCCATCTTTTCTTCATTTATGAAGATGTTAATTATTGGTCCAGTGGTGAGGATTTGTGGTTTTCTTTATATTGAGCTGTAATCCACACTGAAGGCTGCAATCCTTGATTTTCATCAGCAAATGTTTCAAGCCCTCCTCCTTTCAGCAAGCAAGCTTGTATCATTTTCCTATCACAAGTTGTTAATAAGCCTCCTTCCAATCCTGATGCCACATTCTTCATCATATATTCCAGCTTCTCTGATTACTTGTTCAGTTTTCAGATTGAATAAGCATGGTGAGAGGATACAACCCTGACAGACGTCTCTCCTGATTTCAAACCATGCAGTATTCCTTTGTTTGGTTTGCACCTCTATCTCTTGATCCATGTACAGTTCTCCATGAAAACAATGAAGTGTTCTAGAATTCCCGGTCTTCTCAAGGCTATTCATAATCTGTTATGATCCACACAGTCGAATGACTTTGCATAGTCAATGAAAACACAAGCAAGCATCTTCCTGGTATTTTCGGCTTTCAGCCAAGATCCATCTTAAATCAACAATGGTTTCCCTTGTTTCCTGTCCTCTTTGCAAGCTGCTCTGAATCGATGGCAGCTCCCTTTCAATGCACTGTTGCAAGTATTGCCAGATGAGCTTCAGCAAAGGTTGACTTGCATGTGATATCAACGATATTGTTTTATACTTGTGCATTCTGTTGAGTCACCTTTCTTTGGAAGGGGTACAAGTAGGGACCTTTGTCAGTCAGTTGGCCAGGCAGGCATCTTCTAAATGTCTTGGCATAGACAAGTGAGTGCTTCCAGTGAGTCATCATCTTGTTGAACCATTTCAATTGGTGTGCCATCCATTTATGGAGCCTTGTTTTTGGCGAATGCTTTCAGTCCAGTTTGGACTTCTTCCTTCAGCACCATTGGATCTTGCTCAGATGCTGCTTCCAGAAATGGTGGAATGTCAACTAGTGCCTTTGGTACGGCGAGTTTTATATACTTTCCATCGTCTTTTCTTGCTTCTGTTCAATATTTTGCCCATAGAATCTTTCAAGATTGCTGCTGGAGGCTTGAATGTGTTCTTTGGTTCCTTCAGTTTGAGATATGCTGAGCATGTTCTTCCTTTTGGTTTTCTAACTCAGGAATTCATCCATTTCATCTTGATGATCTAATCAGTTGAGGCTCATCACTCATTCACTCATTGCTATTAAGTCATTTCCAATTCACCAAATCAACTGACACTAAGAAAGCATACTTAAAACCTGAAATATGCAGATTTAACAAGTAAAGGATTCACTTAAG